GTGGCATGGTGTGGGCATCTGGCAGGGTAATGGCACCTGGTAGGGTCTGGGGGCATGGCATGGCACAGGGATGGGGCATGGTGTTGGCATCCAGCAGGGTACTGGCACCCAGTGTGGTCCTGGCACCCACTGTGACATGGGGATATGGCATGGTGTGGGCATCTAGCAGGGTACCAGGAGCCAGCAGGGTCTGGGGGCATGGCATGGCACGGGGATGGGGCATGGCATGGGGACCCAGCAGGGTACTGGCACCTGGCATAGTCCTGGCACCCACTGTGGCATGATGATGTGGCATGGTGTGGGGATCTGGCAGGGTACCAGCACCTGGTAGGGTCTGCATGTGTGGCATGGCACGGGGATGTGGCACAGAATGACTTCCTGGCACAGTTGAGGCAGCTGATGTGGCACAGGCACCCGGCACAGCCTGGACACCCGGCGTGGCACGGGAACCCTTCCCTGGCACAGCCATCTCCCCTGGCATGGCAAATCCCCAGCACCGACTGGTCCCCCAGCATGGTGCTGGCACCCTTCTCTGGCACAGCCTGGTCCCTTGGCATGGCAAAGACACCCTTCCCTGGCACAGCTCATCCCCTGCCATGGCATGGGCACCCTTCCTTGGCACAGCTGGTTCCCCAGCTTGGCACAGGGACCCTTCCCTGGCACAACCCGCTCCCCCGGCATGGTGCTGGCACCCTTTCCTGGCACAGCCTGGCACATGGCATGGCACGGGCACCCTTCCCTGGCACAGCCTGGTTCCCCAACATGGCATGTGCGCCTTTTCCTGGCACGGCTGGTCCCCTGGTGTGGCACGGACACCTTTTCCTGGCACAGGCACCCTTCACTGGCACAGCTGGTCCCCTGGAATGGCCTGGGCACCTTTCCCTGGCACAGCCTGCTCCTCTGGAATGGTGTAGGCACCTTTTCCTGGCACAGCTTGTCCACTGGCATGGCATGGACGCCTTTTCCTGGCACAGCCTGCTCCCATGGCATGGCACGGACACCTTTTCCTGGCACAGCCTGCCCCCATGGCATGGCACGGACACCTTTTCCTGGCCAAGCTGGTCCCCATGGCATGGCACAGGCACCCTTCCCTGGCACAGCTGGTCCCCTGGAATGGTGTAGGCACCTTTCCCTGGCACAGCTTGTCCCCTGGCATGGCATGGGCACATCTTCCTGGCACAGCTGATGCCCTGGCATGGCACAATGACCCTTCCCTGTCATGGCTGGTCCCCTGGTGTGGCACGGACACCTTTCCCTGGCACAGCCTGCTCCCCTGGAATGGTGTGGGCACCTTTCCCTGGCACAGCTTGTCCACTGGCATGGCATGGACACCCTTCCCTGGCACAGCTTGTCCACTGGCATGGCACGGACACCTTTTCCTGGCCAAGCTGGTCCCCATGGCATGGCACAGGCACCCTTCCCTGGCACAGCTTGTCCCCTGACATGGCACAGCCCCCAGCACTGATCACCGCAGCCCCGTTGGCACTGCCCTGATGCCATGTCCTTTGCCGGCAGGAGATCGCCAAGCACTTTGAGCACAAGTCGGGGGAGGACTACGAGGTGGTGCTGGAGGCCATCGACACCATGACCTGCGTGGCCTGGTACATCAACGACATGAAGCGCAAGCACGAGCACGCCATCCGCCAGCAGGTGGGCACCGGCGGCTGGCACCGGGCGGGCACCACCACCACTGTGGCAGCGACAACGGGTGGCCTGATGTCCCCTGTCCCCGGGTGCAGGAGATCCAGTCGCTGCTGCTGGGGTGGAAGGGCCCAGACCTGACCAGCTACGGGGAGCTGGTGCTGGAGGGCACCTTCCGGGTGCAGCGGGTGCGCCACGAGCGCGCCGTCTTCCTCTTCGACAAGACCCTCCTCATCACCAAGCGCCGCGGCGACCACTACGTCTACAAGAGCCACATCCCGGTGGGTGCCGAGGGTGGGGGGTGCTGGGGATGTGGGGGGCACTGGGGGTGCTGGGGATGGGGACCTGGGTGGTGGTGGCAGTGGGGACATGGAGGGTGCCAG